CTCCCTCTTCCACTCCCCCTGCTTGTGTTCCCTCTCTTGCTGTGTCTCTCTCTGTCAAATAAATAAATAAAATCTTTAAAAAAAAAAAAAAATTAAGAAACTTATTTTTGGAAACATTTGGCTTGTCCTACCCTCCAGAAACTTTATACTTAGTGGTAAAAAATTACCTGTCAACCAGATGGGTATGCTTCTAATTAGTACTAACTAGGTTTTACTAAGCATGTTTATTGATTTATGTATATTTTATGTGGTGATATCAAAGTTAAATAGGAACTAGATATCAACATATAAAGGTAGGAAAATAATTAATATATGAATGAGGGTCTTGCTTCTAATTTACAATGTTGAATTGTCTTTTGTCAGTTTTAATGACACCTATGATTTGATTACAATTATAATTATATATAAGTAACAACAGAGTTACCTCTGTTGACATTTAAAACTAAAACAAGAGTAGAATTACAAAATCTGAAGAATCTGTGGATTGAAGAAGTCATATAGCCCAACCTTTCAGTAAAGAATTTTTCTTAAACTCCCTGAAAAGTGTCATGGAATTTGTTCCTTGTACTCCACTTACAGTTCTTGAGGGTACATTCCTTATCTAAGGCAACCCATTTTTCACCATTGGGCAGCTCTAATAGTTGAAAGCTCTTCAACTGAGGAGAAATTTGTCTCTATATCCACTATAGCCACTGATTCTATTTCAGCTTTTCAGAGCTACAAAAAATGAACCTTCCTACAACAGTCACTTCAGTATTTATCTTTAGCTATCAAACAGTATCAGGTTATTATCCGAGAAAATTTCCTTAAGGGCCTCACAGGATATAGTTTCTAAAGTTTTGACAATCCTGCATGTCCTTCTCTGAAACTCATTTTTTTGTGACAGTACCTCTTAAATAAGTTCAGTACAGAGAAGTAAACACATTATTCCAGAACTGGCTTAAATATAGAACATTCCTTTTCTTCTTTGGTATTTCTATTCATATGGCATTAAGAAAAGAATAATTTGGTGGCATTCATACTGAAGGGTTCATATTCTACTAAAACCCTTCACTCTTTTGCAAATGCTTCTTGCTTTTTAGCTACCAGCCATTCAGGATTAACACAGCCTCATTTCAAAATATGAATATATTACAGCACTCATAACAAAAGTATAAATAGAATACTAATTAATGGATTATTTCATCTTCCTTTCTCATATATAGGATGGAGAATACAGAAAGATAAAATTAATATGCCAAAAGACGGGCATTTAAAACTATTAATAAATTCATTCTGAAGATCTTCCATACTTGCTATAAGAAGAAACTAGTATATTTATATTTTTCAATGATGCTTTTCTTCCAGCCAATCTTTCCTATTGGGAATGCAACAGATCTGAAAGTAGTAATTAGTTGAAATGTTATAGGACTCAAAGAAATATGATAAGGTTTTGGCCTCAATAACTGGCAATTTAAAGATAAATACTTACAAGTTCATGGATATCAGTTTTAAAGATAGAATGTACTCCAATAATGAAAGGCGTTGGGGAACTCAGAACTTCCAGAAGCTGAGCCGGGAGAATGGGAATATAAGGATAACTGGAAATAATAAAAGCATATGTGAGCTATATTTGTTTTCCCATAATATGAACATATTTTCTTTCACCTTTATGTGGTATGAATTTCAGAATACCTACATTTAGAAATTATCAATAATATTCTCATGGCTGTTAATATTAAATTTTTTAAAAGAAAGATAAAAAAATCTTCATGTTTTGAAAGAGATGATCAGATATAACAAGATATAAAGTAAATGGAACCCAGGGAAGCTTCCTTATCCCATATTCCTCGGAGGCAAGCAGTCTCTTTAGGTTTGTCAATCTTGCTTGAAAGCATTTTTCATTACATAAAAATCTGATATCAGGAGGTAACAATGACTACCTGATGGGCCCTCTCCCTTAATACTAATGATGATTTGTCTAAATAAAACAATCATTCAAATTCCATTTTCTATACTTGTTGTTTGAATTCACTCAGAATGGCAAAGTACAAAAATTAAGGCCTAGAATGCTCTTATCTAGGGGTTAAGAAAGGCACATAGATAAAAAAAAGAAAAAAGTTTTTAAATAAAACAGTCCAAATTTTTTTTCTAGTCCAAATTTTTTTTCTAGTTTGTATGAACTTAATTTTACAAAAATGTTATGATTATCAAATTGATAAAACAGTATATTAGAAAATATTTTATTCAGAACACTATCAGGGCATCATTGTTTAGATGTTTTGTTTTTTACTTTTTACTATGGAAAATTTTAACATTCCCCCACACCCCCAAAAAATAGGGAGGAAAAAAGGAAAATGAAGCCTCATGTAGCCAATGCAGATTTGACAATTACCAATGCAAGGTCTCATATATGTTTCTACCCATTTTAAAACTGTTCTCTTCCCTACTGTATTATTTGAAGCATATCCCAGACATCTTATCATTTATACATAAATACTTTAGTAGGTATCTAAAAAAAAGTAAGGGATCTTCTTTAATATAACCATAATACCATTATAACCCCTAAAAATTAATAACTCCTTAATATCAAATAATCAGACAAAACTAACTTAAGACTTTCATCACTAACTATATTCAAAGAGAATTAAATGTTGCTGATAATATGATTCAAATTATTTTTGCACTAAATTAATCAACACTCAGTAATGAACAACTTGGAAAATTTCCAAATTCTAGGTTAGATTTCCATCAGAATCATGTGTACAGCATAACTTTGTAAAATATGCCCTTGTGGTTCAAAACTATTGTGCTATGACATTTCAACTAATCATCAATAAGTAATGCAGAATTGGGAACAAATTAAAGTACCAAGTTAAAAACCTCACCTATATTTAAGAGGAAACATTAAAGATTCCAGGGCTCTGCAAGCATCACTAAGTCTCTGGAAACTTGCAGAATGGAAGAGAACCTTATTTTCTGTGAGAACTGCACAAAAGAGGCTGAGGACATTTTGAATTCCTGAAAACACAAGAGCAAATGCTTACCAAATGCATTTCATTTTATATGTGTTGCCAACAAACAGACAAAGAATGACATGGAATGAAAAAGCCAGTATTTTTGAAATCTCTAAAGAAAACTATTTGGTTAAACTATAAATTCCATGTAACCTATGAGTATTTGTTTTCCCAAACCTTTATTTTGTCTTTATTCTTCAAATCAATGTAACACTCATTGAACATATTAGTTGTTTGGAAATACATTATTACCTTCTTTTCAACTTCATCTCCATGGACTGTACTTAAATTCCTGTTTTAGATGCTGGCACTGTTCAAATAACTTTTTTCCCCCCTTAAAGTCCATTTGTCTGATGTTAATATAACCATGCCAACTTTGTTGTTGAAATTTTCCTGGTATGTCTTTTTCCATCTTTTCATTTCAACCTTTCTCTACTTCTTGGAAATACAGTTGACATTTTAACAAATCTAGTCTGACAACCTTTGTCTTTTAAGTAGATCATTTAATTGACTTATGGTGATTATTTCTATATATACATACATATAATATCTTATTCAATACTTTTTATTTGTTCTACCTTTTTTCCCCCTTTCTAAATGATTAATAATTATCCCAAACCTTCTTTTATCCCCTCTGCTAGTACAGAATTTATAAGTCCTGTTTCTATTTTTCTAGTAGAAATGCTAGAAAATACAGCATTCATACTTAATAAATTGAAGTTAAATAAATACATTGTTTCTTATCTTCTCCTTTTTACTACTGGGCCTTTTTTTTTTTTTTTTTAAATATTAGTTGAACCTTAATGACATGGACCCACCAAATCAAAGTCTTCTAAGGTAAAATACTTCCTATAACTCCCTTTACCATGGCTTGTCCCTTCACGTGAGGCATGCAAATTTCTTCTTGGTCCATTATTAACTGCTATCCTCTTTTATGATTCCTAACTTATCTCACATGATACACCTGAACTTACAATTCAGGTTTTTAATTTTACCTCATTTGGATAATGTAAGAGTTTTATAACTGGTTTCTCTAATCCAGTCCTTATTCAGTTCAGATCTATTCTCCACAGTCTAGCATGATGGACATAAAATACAAATCTGATTATGCCACTTTCATGCTTCAAACACTTCAGTATCTTCCCATTCTTTTGGGTAGTTATTTTCAAATGTATTCTGTTCCAAAGAAGCAATTTATTAAGAGAAGCTTTGCTTCAACCTGTTTATATATTAATCGCTGTGAGCCTCAGTTGGTAAAATGAGAATAATTTTAAAACCTATCTTAGAGGGTTCCTATAAAGAAGAAATGAGATAATGCATGGAATTCTCAGTATGGTACCATGTTAAATAATCAAGATACATTAGCTGGTATTATGATTATTATTGTAATTATTGAAGTTGCTAACATTAATTTGCTTTTAAGTCAGGGTTCTGATGCTAAAAATGTTTGAAGACACCTGACTACTAGATTAAGACTGAGCGCCATGCCAAAATATCTTTATGGTTTTACATCCGTATTTCCAACCCAGCTGCTACCTCCCACACTTGTATGATCAATAGTAAACTAACTGAGTTCTTAGAACACTTCTTTCAGTTTGATAACTCTGCTTCTTTTGTTCACCTTCACTGTACCTGATGTCCCCTTCATTAAAATGTGAATCCCTCAAAGATAACACTGGGCCTTATACATTGCTGTATCCTCCCCTGCCAAGCACTGACTATATAGTAGGCACTCAAAAATGTTCCAGTGAACTGACAAGCTGTCTGAATGCTGACATGAGTCACTATAAACAAATATTAAAACTTTCATTAAAAGATGTCAGAGAATATCTTTAAAAATTCAGATAGGGAAAGTGTAAAATACACAGATCATAAATTAAAAGATTAATAAATTCAATTATTTTAAATTGAAAATTCCTGTCAAAAAATAACATAAAAAATGAGGACAAGTCTCAGACTGAGTGAAATTGCATAGAAAGTATATAAATGTAAAAGGATAATCATCTAAAATATGTTGCCCTTGGCTAAGGAAATGAATCCAAAACAATACAGCTAAGACCAAGTGAAAGAGCTTCCTGCCTAATTTTTCTTCTAGGAGTTCTATGGTTTCCAGTTTTACGTTTAAGTCTTTAATCCACCTGAGTTTATTTTTCTGTGTTGTATAAGAAAGTGGTCCAGTTTCATTCCTTTGCATGAAGTTGTCCACTTTTCCCAACATTATTTATTGAAAAGACTGTCTTCTCCCATTGTATATTCTTGTCTCCATTTTTATAGATTAATTCACCAAATAAGGATGGGTTTATTTCTGGACTCTAGTTTATTCCATTGATCTATATGTTTCTGTGCCAGTACCATACTATTTTGATTACTTTGTAGTATAGTTTGAAATCAGAAAGCATGATACCTCCATCTTTGTTCTTTCTCAAGATTGCTTTGGCCACAATATTGTTCTTTAGAAATTTTTTCCTACAGTCAAGATTTGTTCTAGGATCAGATTCTCCATTTAGTTGTTGCGTTTCTTTAGTCTCATTCAATATGAAACATTATTACAACTTTATTTTTTTATTTTTTATTTTTTTACTGAGGTAAAATTCACCTACCATAAATTAACCATGTTAAAGAGAACAACTTATTGATTTGCTTATGTTGAACCATCACTGCATCCCAGGAATAAATCTCACTTAACTATGGTATATGAACCTTTTAACATGTTGATGAATTTTTTTTTTAGATTTTACTTATTTAATTATTTGTGAGAGAGAGAGCATGCACAAGCAAGCACATGAAAGAGCAGGGGGAGGGACAGAGAGGGAGAGGGGGAGGGAGAGGGACAAGCAGACTTGTGCAGAGCCCGAGGCTGGGCTCAATCCCACGACCCTGAGATCATGACCTGAGCTGAAGGCCCCAGTATAAAGGAGAATTACAGGTCAATATGCCTGATGAACATGGCCACAAAAATTTTCAACAAGATACTAGCAAATCGAATCCAACAGTACATTAAAACAATTCTTCACCACAATCAAGTGGGAATTATTCCTGGGCTGTGAGCGTGGTTTAATATTTACAGATCAATCAATGTGATACACCACATTAATAAAAGAAAGGATAAGAACCATATGATTCAATAAATACAGAAAAAGCATTTGACAAAATACAGCATCCATTTTTGATAAAAACCCTCAACAAAGTAGGAACAGAGGGGACATACCTCAACATCATAAAGGACATATACCAAAGACCCACAGCTAATATCATCCTCAATGGTGAAAAACTGAGAGCTCTTCCTCTACAGTCAGGAACAAGACAGGGATGTCCACTCTCACCATGTTATTCAACATAGTACTGGAAGTCCTAGCCACATTAATTGACAACAAAAAGAAATAAAACGCATTCAAATTGGCAGGGAAAAAGTCAAACTTTCACTATTTGCAGATCACATGATACTCTAAGTAGAAAACGTGAAAGACTCCACCAAAAAAATTGCTAGAACTGATACACGAATTCAGCAAAGTCACAGAATATAAAATCAATGTACAGAAATCTGTTGCATTTCTATACACCAATAATGAAGCAGCAGAAAGAGAAATTAAGGAATCAATCCCATTTACAGTTACACCAAAGACAATAAAATACCTAGGAATAAACTTAACCAAAGAGGTAAAAGATCTGTACTCTGAAAACTACAGAACACTAATGAAATAAATTGAAGAGGACACAAAGAAATGGAAAGACATTTCCACTGGAAGAACAAATGCTGTTAAAAATGCCTATGCTACCGAAAGCAATCTACACATTTAATGCAACCCCTATCAAAATATCAACATTTTTCGCAGAGCTAGAATAAACAATCCTAAAATGTGTATGGAGCCACAGAGGACCCTAAATAGCCAAATCAAGCTTGAAGAAGAAAAGCAAAGCTGGAGACATCACAATTCTGGACTTCAAGCTATATTAAAAAGCAAAAATGAACTTCATCAAGATAAAAAGTTTCTGCACAGGTGAGGAAACAATCAACAAAACTAAAAGGCAACCTACAGTATAGGAGAAGATATTTGCAAATGACATATCTGATAAAGGGTTAGTATCCAAAATCTACAAAGAACTTATCAAATTCAACACCCAGAAAATGGATAACCCAGTCTGAAATGGGCAGAAGACATGAACAGATATTTTTCAAAAAAAGACATCCAGATGGCTAACAGACACATGAAAAGATGCTCAACATCAGTCATCATCAGGGAAATACAAATCAAACCTACAATGAGATATCATCTCACACCAGTCAGAATTGCTAAAATTAACACAGGAAATAACAGGTGTTGGTGAGGATACAGAGAAAGGGGAAACATCTTGCAACGTTGGTGGAAATGCAGACTGGTGCAGTCACTCTGGAAAAGAGTATGGAGTTTCCTCAAAAAGTTAAAAATAGAACTACCCTATGATCCAGCAATTGTACTACTAGGTATTTACACAAAGGATACAAAATTACTGATTTGAAGGGATACATGCACTCTGACGTTTATAGCAGCATTATCAACAATAGCCAAATTATGGAAAGAGCCCAACTGTCCATAGACTGATGAACGGATAAAGAAGAGGTAGTGTATACACACACACACACACACATACACACACATACACACACACACAAAATGGAATATTACTCAGCCATCAAAAAGAATGAAATCTTGCCACTTGTAATGACATAGATAAAGCTAGAGAGTATTATGTTAAGCAAAACAAGTCAGTCAGAGAAAGACAAATACTATATGATTTCACTATATGTGGAATTTAAGAACAAAACAAATGAACAAAGGGGGAAAAAAAGAGAGAGAGGGAGGCAAACCAAAAAAACACTCTTAACTACAGAGAACAAACTAATGGTTACCAAGGGGTAGATGGGTGAAATTAGTGGTAGGGATTAAGGAGTGCATTGCTGTGATGAGCACCAGGTGTCCTATGGAAGTGCTGAGTCACTATATTGTACACCTGAAATTAGTATTA